AAATTAAATAACTTCATCTATTCAACTTATTAGTAAATACAAAATACTGCAGTACTGTAGGACCGACGACGTTAACCTTACGCGAAATATCAATGAGAAAATTCTAGAACCATCATCCTTCCCCTTTATTTTATAATAATATAATAATAATAATAATTGGATTCTATCTTTCCACGATATTAGGTAAGCCGCACATCTCTCTCGGCGGCGTTCTCAGTTGCTCCGATTTCCATTAGGTTATGCTGCCGTTTTTATCCATCTTTCTTTTTTTCTCTTATTATTTGTGTGAAATTGATGTTTTCTTTCCTCGATTTTCCTTAGAATAATAATAATAATAATAATCTCCTCAAAAATCAGGTATTGATTCGATCAGGGAATTGATGGCATCCAAACGCATCCTCAAGGAGCTTAAGGATTTACAGAAAGATCCTCCCACCTCCTGTAGCGCTGGTTTGTTCTTCTTTCTCTCTCTCTCTCTCTCTCTCTCTCTGAGTCCTGATTTCCCTCTTTTTTATTATTATTATTATTATTATTATTATTATTATTATTATTTGCAATATGCTTGTCTTGTCTTTTACAATGCAATGCAATCATCTGATTGTATTGTATCGCCAAAAGAATTCTGCTTTACTAATCAATAAGTAGTCTTATGCTATATATTTTTTTAAAGATGCAAATATAAATAAATTATTATCAGGAGAGAAATAGAATTATTATTGTTTTTATTTTACTTATGGTATGGTATGGTATGGTGTGTGTGCAATCAAATCCAGGCCCTGTTGCCGAGGATATGTTCCATTGGCAAGCTACAATTATGGGTCCCGTTGATAGCCCATACGCAGGAGGAGTGTTCCTGGTTTCCATTCACTTTCCACCAGATTATCCATTTAAGCCCCCTAAGGTATTTCTTTATACTCTTTTTTTTTTGTTTACAGTTTGCCCATTTAATCTCTCTTCTACATCTTTAAATACCACTTTTAATTATTAGATTGCGTTATCTAATAATATGTATTCCCCAAAAGTAGTGAAGTTATATTCATTCTTATCATCATATTTTGCTTTTAAAATCTAGCAATGCTATGAGTAGTAGTATAATCTTTTTCTTCTTCTTTGTTTTATTTTTTTGTAACTGCTTTGTACAATATATATATGAACTGACAATAATAAAGTATATGCATGGCAATTCACTACCTAGGAAGGATTACAGTAACTTATTAACTTCTAATTGTAAGGATTAGAGCTTTCAGGGGATATCTCAGGATGATGAGAATATCATACTAGTATGAATGTGAATCTCCTTAGGAAGCTAGGTTGAAATAAATTTGTAATATTGTATAGAAGATTGTCCTACAATCTTGTGCTTTATTTCTCTATACTCTTCATAATGCAATATTTGGAAGGGTTTATTTCTGTTTTTCCTACTATGAATTCTCCTGCTCACTGTTCTTTGTTTTGTAATTTAAATATTTCAAAAATCTTCATTTGGTTGGTTCCTTGTTATGTCTCATATTAAGCTTTGCTTCCTTGTTACTTCTCATGTTAAGCCTGGTTCCATATGGCCTTTTATTCACAATTACTTATGAAGAAGACTTTGGAGGTATCGATTTCTTCTATTATAGAGATTTGAGAGGTTTAACTGGATCATGTGCTTTCTATATTTCAGGTTGCATTTAGGACTAAAGTCTTCCACCCAAATATTAATAGCAATGGAAGCATATGTCTGGATATTCTTAAAGAACAATGGAGCCCAGCACTAACCATTTCCAAGGTTTGATATTATTGTTTTGGTCTCTATTTGTTTTGATTTTAAAGCAGCCTATACATGCTCCTCAGCTATCATACTGGAGCTTTTCTAAGGATGATATCAACATGCCTGAATGTGCCATCTCATTTTAGTTGCAATTTTTACCATCACTATAAAGAATGATTGCTTGCCATTAATTATTAGATAGTACTCTTCAGTCTGCCCTGCCCTTTGACATCATCTAGTTCACTCTTTTCATGAATTTTGTGTTTGGTTAGAGACTCATGGAATTGGTGGTTTAATAAGTATGGTTAGATTGGGATTTGGTTTGGGGATATATATAGACTTTTGCTTGGTTTAGGGAGGGTAGAATCTTGATTCAGCAACACCATGATTGTAAAAGTAGTCGCTGAATTCATGACAGAGTTTTCCTCTGTACTCTGGAGTTGTATAGCAACTTTCTGCCAATTTTACCAATTTGGTGTGCTTAAGAAATGATGGATTGTGGTATATAAAATACTTGGTTAGAAGTATGGTTGCCCATAATGGTCTTTCTTAATGATGAAAGTCTATTACATATTGTAGGTGCTGTTATCTATTTGCTCCCTGTTGACGGACCCAAACCCAGATGATCCACTTGTACCTGAAATTGCTCATATGTACAAGACGGACAGAGCAAAATACGAAGCAACTGCACGCAGCTGGACTCAGAAGTATGCAATGGGTTGATAGTGATAGATAGCCCTGCAATTGAGAAAGGGAAGATGGAAATCTTATGGTTCCAATGTCCATTTATTTAGGCTGAAGAAAAGGAATGTCGTAGAATGTTGTTTGTGGTTATGTTTTGAATGAGAGATTGGAAGTCGGGAAGAAACGTAATAACCATCTTGTGAATATTTGTTTCCTGACTTTGGGAGGAAGTGAAAATCTGTAATTTAATGTTACGGTGCCTGTCAGAATGGATGCTCTGTTTCAATATGTTGTTGGAGTTGTTGAATATTAGACAATTAATGGTCTTGAATTATAGTTTTTGATGGTAACTTTCAAATATTTCAAATTAATTTGTTAATAAATTGATTTAAATATGTTAAATAATAAATATTAATTATTAATTACTTTCAAAAATTAAATTAAGATAAAAATGTATTTATATTGATGATTTCTAATAGTTTTTTAAGTAATAAAAAATTATAAATTGATAAAATTATAACTATAATTAATAATTTTAATAGAATTAGTGGTAATTATAACCTAGTAAATTAGGGGGGATTGATGTTGAAATTTCAACAGACTGAGAAAATGATGTTCTCATTCACTCACTCACTTTCCATCCCCTCGTGGATGTAAATAGTGGTATTATATGTAAAAAGGAGAGGATAACAAATGCTGTGGCTTTGTTCGGAAGCAATCAGGGACTGGGATTCATAATAATGGTTAGCTTTACGGCCTTACATTACACCACCCCACACCACATGCTGACTCTTCCCTTTTCAATCCGTTGCTTCTTCTTCAAGACAATGTTTCCAACCTAACGCCCCCACCATTTTCAAACTCTTCTTAATACTTTTTTTTTCTTCTAAAAACACAAGTTAAAAGAGTATTTTTTAGCATTAATTCATATTAAAAAAAATAAAAATTATTTAATATGTTTGACTTTATTAGATTTAGCTTCTTTTTATACAATAAAATAGAAATTAATAATTTATTAAGAAAATTTTATAATTATTTAAAAAAATAGATCACTAGAATTTGAATGGCCAAATTAAAAATAAATTTACTAAAATTGGGTGAAATGAATAAATTTTTGAATTAATTGATTAAAATGATTTATATAATATTAGTGATTAAACTAATATCCATGTTTATCATTTTAATACAAAAAATTGATCTTAAAAAAACCATGATAACATTTAAAAG